TACTTTTAAAAGAAGAATAGGCAAAAAACTTTGAATCTTAAGATGTACAAAACCTATAGTGACATACCAGAAAATACCACTAAACCGTGCTTTTTTTTTAATCATCTGATTTTCCTTCTACCTCATATGAATACTTTTCTAAGGCACTGCATATGCTGAGTAACTAAGTCTGTAAAAAGGCTGATATTTTAAAAATTCAGGGTGACGACTCAGCACATTCTTGGCACTCCTAACCATAATGCAGTTTTATTATTATAAATATCCTTTTTTCCCAGCTAATATCTCAGTCCTTTCAATCCAGTCTCTGACTTTCTGCACAGCAGCCTCTAACAGAGGGACAGCCTGCTCAGCGTCAGCATGCAAACAGCTGTGGATGCAAAGCAGCACCGCAGGAAGAAAGAAGAGACCAGCAGGTGTCCAAGAAGCTGCTGCTGCTTTACAGAACATTTGGGAATCCAAAGGCAGGGTTAAAGGTTTAGTTTAGGATTTTTCTTTTGCTTGTAAATCATAATATGAAACAAAATCTTCACTTCATGTTTCATTTTCTCTGTAACTGACAGAGGAGTGGAGATTACTGTGATTAAGTGTCCCCCAAATAAATTTCTACCTTTCTTATCTTTTATTTCCAACACCCAAGAGAGTAGCATAAATAAACAGGAAAATAAAGCAAATCAGTAAAAAGTGTTTGGCACACTGGGATGAGAACATTTCTTACATTTCCAAAAAACGATAATCAGTCACTAACTGCAGATGAGCCATAGAAATATCAAGTTTCACTGTAGTTCCTTCCCAAAAAGGCTCAGAGGGTTTCAGGTCGCAAAACCAGTGGGATCTCTGATCCGTTTGGCTCAATAACCAGATTAGATTCTACAGTCTTCGTATAAAAAAATATCCTCATTATTTTGACAGTATCAGCTATCAGGACACAGTGAAAATGTTCAGGCATGAGGTTTACAAAGACGCACAATAGATTTCCTGCTGTCTGTACTTTTTAAACAAAAGCAGCACCTAATATTGAGAACCTGTACTTTGGGGGAAAAAAACAAAGTAATAACTTTCCTGCTTCCATGGGTGTAAGAAGAGATGTTAGCAGCTCTGTGCTGCTTATCAAACAATGAACTGATCATCAGCAGGACTGACCTGCTCTAAATTAAGATGGGGGCACTTTGCATGCCAAGATGGAAAGGCAACAGCAGTGACCTGTTGCTACTCATCGATCTCAGAAGGTTTGTCCACAATTTGATGTTTGTAATGTTGCAATGAGAAATAAAAGCCCTGCTATGTTCATCCGTGTCAATCTAAGCCTTAACAGAGCTGCGTTACCATGATAACAGTTTATGACATCCATCCATCCATTTTCTGTCAGGCTTATCCCAAGCAGGGTGCGAGGGGCAAGATGTGGGATGCACCCTGGACAGGTCGCCAGTCCATCGCAGGGCAACACAGAGACAAAAAGGACGAACAACCATTTACACTCACACCTAAGGACAATTTAGAGAAGCCAGTTAACCTAACGGTCATGCTTTTGGACTTTGGGTGGAAGCTCGAGTACCCGGAGAGAACCCACACATGCTCAGGGAGAACATGCAAACTCCATGCAGAAAGACCGCAGGCTGGGAATCAAACCTAGAACCTTCTTGCTGCAAGGCAGCAGTGCTACCCACTGGATTACTGAGCAGCCCTACAGTTCATGACAGTCATTTAGAAAAGAACATGAACAGGCAGGACGTTTGGAAGCATCTTTAATCCAATGGCTTAAATAAATGATCAGATGAGACCAGTGGAAATATATGGTGCTGAATCTGACTGTCTGAGCAAATGCAGCATGTCAGCAAAACACTGTCTGTCCAGATTGGGGGAGAGGTGATGATTAATGCCTAATCTACAGCCAGAGCCAGATTTTTCTCTGTGAAATTAAGTTTTCTTGATTTGAAACGTGAGGCTGAGTCTGACAGCAAAAGCCTGGTCCAAACGGGTTCATGCAAGGTAGGAGACATGATGACACAGAAAAGGGGCCCAGAATTCACCTGAGGCTGGAAAAGATATACAGGAAGCAATTATTTATTACTGCTGGGGAAATTTAATAGTCACAGCGAGTCTCTCTGCTCTCCTTTTCATTTTGGCTTTGTTCTAACATTATGACAGAGTAGAATCTGTGTGCTTCAGTCCTTTGGAGGTCAGATTTATATCATCATAGAGTCAGTTTTTTTATTTCTTTTAATCCCTAAAGTTGAAGGAGGATGTGCTTTACTTTGTTCTACAAAAATAAATAGACCACAGCAAGAGTTTGCAGCTATATTCTATTACTTTATGTAACATATTGTACTTCAAAGGAGTGGATATAGAACTATAGACGTGTAATTATTCCATATTTTTATCCACATATAGACTCACCATAACCACATATTCTCCCATAATCAGTACAAATAATCCAATAAAAATACATAAAACCACATTACATATTATTATACTTGCTTATATAGCCCAATTTTATGTTCTTTACTCTATCAGCTTTATATCAAATACAAACAGTGTCAGTGAATATGTTCCTATAGTGGAGTATTTAACTAAATATATCTGATTTCTACAATTTCTTTGTATAAAATTAAAATAAAATAAAAAAATAGCAAGGTCAGCATTTTTTTTATATCATAAATAGTAATAAAAATGATTTTAGCAATAATTACTATTATCACACTACTCTTAAATTTACATATGAATCCAGCAAGAAGAAAATAATTCTGAGCTAATTTGACCTGATAGGAGGACATTATTCTTTTATAGCTGTTAGTTTATTCCACAGTTTCCACTTCACAACCTTTTCTGGTGGCGTTTTTTTTTTTTTTTTTATTTATTAGTTTTACTTCATACAGAATTGCAGTTGTAATTGTAGTTTTATTATGTAGTTGTTGTAGTTTTATTGTTCCAGTGAATTAAGTTCAAAAAAAGAAAAAAAGAAAAAAGCTTTTCTTATAGATGCCTTAGAGGGTTATGTTAAAAGGCCGCTCACAAAGGAAGAACCCAATACTTCTAAAGCAACATAAAAAGTAGATTCAACTTTGGAAACTGACTTACAAAGACCTTTGTAGTTGTAACATCCTGTGGGAAGTAAAACTCTGAATTTAAAGGTTTTGAAAGAATTTTAAAAAATCGGTCACTGACTACCCTCTAATATAGGAAACACGTGTCAAACTAAAGGCCTGCGGGTCGAATATGGCCCCTCATGGCAAATTATCTGGTCCTTAATTTCCAAAAAACCGATACGCAAACATTTTATGGCCGATATTTGCATTTTTTTTTTTTTTTTTTGTAGTTCTTGTATCCTATTTTGTTATGCCTATCCCTATTTGGAACTCTTCAGTTGTTAGGTTTTAGTTTTCAGTTGTTCTGGTTTTTTTTTATCTTTGGTTTATTTTCCATTATTTTCAAGCAGTCTTTAGTTACTCTCTGTTGCCCCCTTGTTTCCTTTCCCCTTGGCTTCCTTCTAGTTAGTTTCATTCACACCTGCTCCATATTCAGCTCATAAGCCCATCCTTTGTTCTGTTCCCCTTATATACACCACCTCTACAGTCACTCAGGTTCCTTGTTGTTGTTTGTTGCTTCCTCATCTCTGGCTCCCCATGTGAGTTTCCCTTGATGTTTTCTTGTCATTTGTTTCTTTGTATTTTTGTATTTAGCCTCAGTTACTCATTAAATCTACAAGATTAACTTCAGCCTCCTGATCTCTGCATTTGGGTCCTCAAAAACCTCCACCCCATATGTTTATCGATTCATTAGTGAATTCAGCAGCCATGCCACAAGATCACAGTCCATGTATTTACATTCCCTCCGTTTGCCATCTATTGTTGTTTTCTTCTATTTGTTTCGAAATGTTTCCTTTTATGTTTAAATTACTGCTCGAGTGACATTTTTTTCATTGTTGTTTCATTTTAGCATGTAAAATGGAGGAAGAAAAATCAATATTGACTTTAAGAATCGACCCAAAAATATCAACAGGTATCAGGATTGGCCTTAAAACAACCCTGTATCGGTCCGTCTCAGTGCTCTTTTTATAAAGGAAAGGATGAAAAGTTTTGTTTTGATGCAGTTGATTCCGCCCTTTTAAAGACCTGATGACTTGAATGTGAAAGAATGTGACACCCCTGATATAGAAGGTAGAGATTATTCTGATAATCCTTAGTGACCTAAAACATTTAACATAAGTCTTGGTAAATGTCAAAAACCTAATAAAAAAATCTGAAGTGTGTAAATATCTGGTTTTAGTTCAAAACCATTGTTTTAAAGCCGTTCCTTTGTTAACAGCAGTTGGATCAGCAGAGCAGTTAGTCTCCTTGGACATTTTTATTTATTGTGTTCGCAGTGTTGCCATGCTGGGGAAGGGCCAGAAACATGCTGTTTTACTGTTTTAGGATCTGAGGAAACACCGTGTGTGTAGCTGTCGTAAATACCATCTCAGCTATTTCTGCGTACCGCAAATCATCCTGTTAGGGACGACCCGAGATTTACACATGATCGACCCTTTAAAAGTCTTCTGATTTCACAAACTGCTTGTTTTAGTGAAGAGCATCTGTCGTGTCATAAAAGATCATTTCCCCCATTTAGAGTCAGATTTTTAGCAGACACAGATGGCATCAGTCAGATTTTCTGCTTGTTTCAGAGTCTGAGACGTGACTTCATGCAGCCTCTGTGGTTTTTTATTTTCTGTTTTCGGCAGATGCTGCAGCAGTTTTCTGACTCAAATAAATTTGTGTGCAGCTCAACGTGCATCTGCAACAATAACATGCGGCATCTGGTTATATGAGGAGCTCCGGTTTCTCCTGATGTGTCGTTATTTTTACAGCTGCGTAAGACATCACGCATCAGCAAGGCGGACATGTGTTTTTGTGTTTTTCTCTGTGTTTGCTCTGAACTTCCCCATCCCCTGCTTCCCTCATATTTCTCATTCTTTTACCTCGCCTCATTATCTCCTCCGTCTCCTGCTCTGTCTGTCTCCCTCTTAGACCTCGCCGATAACCTGGCAATGGATGACTTCACCTTCCAGGAGCAGCTGCTGACTCCTCGGCTGGCCACCGCCGGGATGGGAGGGGTCCACTCCCCTGCTGCTCCGCTGCAGAGGACCAGCCTGGTTCCAGCCATGCCAGCGACACTTGCTCTACTTCTGCTATGGCACCACTGACGAGGCCACTCCTGTTTTAACTCTATATCCCTGCATAGAAATGGAAGGTGACAAACATTTCGGACTTCTGGGTCCTGATTTCAGTTTGGTGGCCCATCAAAGGAAGCATTAACAACCAAAAAAACCCAGCTTTCCTCTTAATTCGTCAATAGTAAAACATGTTTAGCTCCATTCAAATTTGGGGACGTTCCAAACAAGCACACTTGATATTCCATGTTGTAAATAATTTGTACTCTCTGTCTTCATATACCGACTCCCTCTCAGTAATAATAAAACAAAAGAGACGCTGGTTGTTTATTAAAACTACGGATGTGTAAATAAGGCCTTTAAAACACACCAGGCCCTTTTTAAAGTGCAGGCTCAGTCAGTGCTGAGCCAGTGAATGTCAGCTGCTGCCATTTTCCTTCATGACTGTGAATGATCTGTTGCAAGCGTTGGACCTGAAAGCTAATGAGGACTCACCTATTTGAAGGGAAAGTTCAGAATTCAAAGTGAGGTTCTGTTAAAAGGTTGCGTGCAGTAAATCTGTTACCTGCAGCACAAAAAGCAGCATCATGCAGATGCAAGAGATCATTAAAGGGGGCAGTATTACTCTGGAGTTACGCTGATTAAGAAAGGAAAAAAAACAGAAAAACAAGTCTATGGCTGAATCCCAAACCGCTAACCCTTAAGCACTATCCCTTAACTATTGAGTGTCCGTCACAATTAAGTCACACTCACACTTGTGGAAGGTGCCTGGATTGTTCGTGTCATACAAACGTGAATGGGACTGCTTCTTCCCCCCAACGCAAGGGAAAGCAGTCGTTCCTATGGCAACACAGTGATGCTGCATGTGCCTGGCTGTAGCTCTGTGGTGCGTCATACAAAACATTTTCTTGAAAATAGATATATCCAGTCAAATGAAACTATTTCAAAGAGGATCTTCCATTTAGAGATCAATGATGTTTTTCCTAACGTGATGAAAATGCGGCAAACCAGCGGAACTTAGATTTTGATGCACGTGTTTCTTCCGCCGGTAGCTCGCCGTTACACAAGCTGCTAAATTTCAGCAAGCCTGCACTGATGCAGAATCGCTATTTAGGGGCTGAACGGTCCACTTGCCCTACCCATTACATTAGGGATGCACGATATCCGATATGCCGATATTTTAAAACTCATGTAGCCGATAACCGATACCGATATTAAAGCTGGACAAAAATAAGTAGTCATTGAAAATAGCAGTTTTATTATCCATTTCTGACACTTTGAAAAATAATATACTCAAATACATTTTCATATGCTGATATCAAATAGATTTTTAAAAACGCGGTATCGATCTATTTTATTTTCAAAGTCTCGTAAAATTTCATCGTTCTGTTACAAACTCTCGTGATATTTAGCAAATTCTTGTGAGATTTTGTTAGTAAAATAGATCGATACCGCGTCAATATATCAACATATAAAAATATGGCAAAATTTTGTGAATTTTCGGGGGATTTCGTAGCATAACGATGACATATAGCAATATTTCATTAGTAAAAGAGATTGATATGGGGTTTTTAAATGGCAATATACCAGCATATGAAGATATTGTGATATTTTAATGTATCAATATTTTTTCCCTCGTCTTTAAAGTTTTTAAGTCTGTAAAAAAGAAGTTTTTGAGGAAGAAGAAGAAGTAGTATTTTTTTTTCTTTTTAGACTTTAGAAACTCAGAAGCTGATCAAATATCGGCTTAAATATCGGTGGGGTGGCCGATGTCCGATATTCAGTTTTAAGGCCGATATCGATAGGGGGCCGATTATATTGTGCATCCCTACATTACATGGTTTGGGACGGCCCTTAATGTGGTGGACCCTCAATGGAAACGCGCTAACAGAGGGTTAGTGCTCAGGGGAAGAGTTTAAGGCCGGTTTGGGATTTAGCCTTTCTCATGTGTTAAATTCTCTTCTTTCCTTGTTTTTCTTCTTCTATCACTCAATTTTGCTGCTCTTACATCACGTCCTCTTATAGTAGTGTCTGGTCTGCTCTTCGGTTTTCCAAGTCCATTTCAGGGTCCAGAATGGAGCTCAAAGCGACATGATCCACTCCTGATTTAAGAACAATGTTTGGGTTTTCAGTCAGCATGGTTTCAAATTGACAAATCGAGGAGCAAACTAGTGGCCAGGCTAAAAGACTGGCCTGCGCTTTGACAGCAAGTGTCTAAGGAAATTTGAGACTTTTAAATACAGCTGTAAGATCAGACATTCTGATCAAATGTTGGTCCCTTTTTATTAAAATGGCCCAAACACAGGCAGGCAGAGCCACATGTAAGCCAGACTGTACAGCTTCAGAACTAACATCCAGCTGGAATGTATGTAACTGACACCGAAGCTGCTCAATGATTGCATTATACTGAACTGAGTGTAAATAAATTGGATCTTTTTAAATTGCCTTAAGATGTGAATTGGATTCACACAAAAATTTAATTAAATTAAGTTTATGTGAACAAAACAGTGTAATTACAAAAAAAGAAAACATGAAAGGGCCACGACAGATCAACAATCTAATCCTTTAAGAAGTGGCGTAAAACAGGCAGAAATACTAAGGAGTGAATATTGGGACAAAGATCAGACTATAAGTTAATGTTTATCTGTAAGGAAGCACAACAATAAAGGAGATGAAAACAACAAATTAATGTGGAAAGAATTCCCTAATGAAACACTTGGATCATAAAACAAATTCAACTTTAAATAAAAAATGAAATCAGAATCAACAAATCTTAGAATGAATAAAACAAGGATAACATAGAAAAAAAAAAGCTAGAGTGACTCATTAAACCTCGGCCCATTTTAGATGGATAGTTAATCTTAAATGAAAAGTTTTCCACGTTTTATTCAGGAGGATCATTGGTGGAGCACCACCCTCTATTTCTATATCCTTTGTAAATAATCATTAACTTTGGCATAAGTAACCCCTTGTATAAAAATAACAATGTTTTAAAGGTACATAAGATATAGTTAGCATATAATATCTGAGGCAGAAGTTGTTTTAAGCATCTCGGCTCCTCTGTGATAACCCCTTACCTTCAGTCTGTGCCACTGGCTCATCTGGGTTTATGATAAACAAAGTTCTCCTCCTCAGGTAAGATATTAACTACCAATTACCTTTCAACAGAACCTCACTTCAAGGATCCTCATCTCTCACTTTAAAAACGCTGTCCTTTCAGAAGCTGTGCTTTAAGTCTCTGATTGTAAAGCTGGTAGCTTTCTATATGTAAATCAGCCTGACAACTGTACAGATATATGTGTTTCTGTGTTGGTGCCATGTTTATAAAAACCTCTTCATTTTGACATCTTCTAGTGTGTGAACTGAACTGCTGGCTGAAATGTGATGCTTTGCTACTGGTTTATTACCTTATTATTAGCTCTGTGCATAAAGCAAGTAGTAAAAATTAAATACACATTCTTATAAAAGAAAATTGTTTGTGTGCTTTTCGCTCGCTGATTTGTTAACTCTGGCTGTTGCATTTGATCTTTGGGTCTCTTGAGTTTTTAGATACAAAGTAGGAGTCCTATTTCATGATATGTTTGGTTTAATCTAGCTGAGATTTATAAATGAAGCGTGGCATAAAATGATAAACCAGCTCCCATATGCTCATTAAAAACTGAATGTTTTCAGCTGTTGACTTCAGCTGAATGTGCAAAACTGCAGGTTTAACTCATCATATGAAGAGAGAAAAACGGGCTGAGCAGCTGTTGCAAATTTGTAATAATAGACTAAAAACATTTCAGTATTTGTTTGTTTTTTTAAATATATACTTTACATATATTTTTATTACACTCAAAAAATCCTCACAATAGGATAGTCATTTTCAGTTTAGAGGATAATCTGAGCTGCCCTCATAATTAATGTTTGAATTTGTACAGAAAAAATAAGTATTATTTTATATGCAGGAACATTTATTCCCCTGTTTAATTTATGTACATATTTATATGTATTTATTTAGTTAAAATATTTTATAACATTATTTTAAGGCACTTTTCAAGATCTTTACAGTGAATTCACATTCAAATACTGACACTCTAGCTGGATTCTATTTTTAAACATCACAAAAATATATGTTTATTTGTCAAAATATATTTATTTTGTTATGTGTTCTTTTAGAACTATAACTGAAACAAAAAAACTAAACAGAAAAAAATTATTAATAAATAATAAAAAGGAATTACAACTATCAAAGAATTTAAAACCAGAAGTAAAAATGAAATAAAAATAAAAAATACTGAAATAATAAATTAACACCAAAAAGATGTGCCTCTTTCTTAATTTAATAAAGATTTTATAAAAAATAATTTTCAGCGTTCAGTGTTTTCCACCTAAAAAGAATTGTGTTGTACTTAATTTGCGCTGCTACTTTCTGTGTATTATGAAGCAAAGTAGTGATAAAATCATTTTTACAGTGAGGAAAAGAGTGGAACAATCAATCCCAGAAAGAAATCATTAAGTATGTATGACTAAATCAACCAATATTAAAGGAATTTAGGAAAATAAATACGTATAAAGGAATAGGAAGATGACTATAAAGCTATTGGAAAATACAATACTTTGTTTGTAAATAAAAATAAAAAATAGAGACACAAATCAGCGACATGGCTGAATGAGAAATAACCAGTATATTGAATTATGAACAAAAAAATATATGAATTACCCAAAAAACTCTTAATTAAAGAGAGATGTCCTGTTTTTAAAATGTCTATGTTGTTCCATATCTCCTTCTCCTGATTGATACTTTCATGTTTTTATCTTTCAGGATCTTTTTACCAACTACAGCTTTTAAAAAATAAAGGTTGGAAACAATTAAATCTCAGAAAATATCCTCTTAGCCTAACTGATTATTGATTGAAGGAGACTTTTTTTTTTTACTTTTTTTTTCAATTTTATTTTATTGAATATAAAACATGTTTTATTATTTTTATCTTTAGGTTTTTGTTTATGTTTTTCAGTATGTATTATTTTCTTTTATAGCACCTTGTTATTTTTCCAAGATCTTCTGTAGTTCTTGCCATATTGTTTTAGTTTAATTAAGTCAGTGTTTCTGTAAAGTCATGCCATTGTTTTCTCATTTCTTTAGTTTCCGTTTTCCATGCCCAGTCTTCACTCCTCATCTGTCTTTTTTGTACATTTATTGTTGTTCTTTTATTAAAGTCTTCAACTTCTCACGGTGTTCATCTATACTTTGATCCTAAACTTAGAATATAAAAAAAAATATAATAACTTAGCCAGATTTCATTTTAATATCACGAAAACCTGGTATTATAACAGCAATGCAAACACTTTAGAGCTTCTGTATTTATGTTTGTTTTGTTTTTTACCCACATTCTGGTTATTTCAGAAGTGCAGATCTGCCACATAACGTAAAATTATTGTGCAGGTTTTCCTCACTTTAATGAGAAAACTATACTGTAAAAAAAATTCTGAAGGTCTGAAATGAAAAGATCAGAAGAACTAGTGAGAACAGTTTGTTTGTATTTAGTCTCAGCTCACCTCGGGGCCTTTTTTCTTAGTGGACCAATAAGAGATCAGAGAGGCGTTATCTGGCAGGGATTTATGCCCCCAAAATACATCTCAGGGAGGGGGGGACAACCTTTTGGAAGA